CATTAGTCTTGCACAAGGTTGAATAAGGACTGTACCATGGTTTAAAAAATTAGTCAAAACCATCTGATGTATACAAAGTTGTGAAACTTTGCAAATGATCACAATTCAGTAATTTTGCACAATTTTCCTTGGCTCCTGTTCCCACTTTCCCCAGAAAGTGGAAAGGGTGCATACAAGGGAACATAGAGAACTATATTTGATTCCTGTTCTAAAAAAAGTATTCAGGAATCTTTTTAGGTTCTCCAGTTTTGCCAAATGTTGTCCACATTCCTTCAAGTCTGCCTTTCAGCTAGAATGGCTAAAAAAGAAAGCAGTGTTGCATTAAAAAACCTGCATCTTGTTTATGACTGAATAGAATCACAGTTTATGAATAACATTTAGTGTTATTCATAATGAATATACAGATATAGATATGTGTGTATGTATATATCTGCGTGTGTATAAGCTTCCAATTTTTAGCCAAATTTTCCAGCCCCAGGTGAAATGCTCCTAATGCAAAACTGGGTGATGCAAGAAAAGAACAGGCAGGACAGTTAGAACATGTGCAAGCAAGAAGGGCCTCCCCATTATGAAAGCAAGATCCAAAGGTTGAGACCACACCTTCTTGTCCGACCGCTCAAGGATATTGCGAGTCTTCTCTTTGTCTTTGCGTTTTACACGTTCAGCAAAGGCATCACGTTCTTCCAAGTCTTGCAGCCGCTCTCGTTCACTCCGGTCCCATTCATCCTCTGACTCCTCCTCTGGAATCCTACACCAAGGAAAACAAGAATGTTGATTGCTTTCCTTATTTCTCTCCCAACTCTGCTTTTTGCAAATGATGGATGCTCACCGTCCCATGTCATCTCCACTAGGCTTCTCATCAGAGTCTTTGTCCTCCTCTTCTTCCTTGCGCTGCCTCAGGTGTTTGTGCCGTTTCCGTTGCTTGCCCTCAGGACCTTGTGAGAGGTGGTGACGCTTCGAGCTCCGGGCTGCTGTTGCTTTACCGGTTTCTTCATCGTCACTGTCCTCCAACAGGGTGTATGAACGATTCTTCTGCTGCAAGGCTAAAGCCTGCTGCTCAGCTAACCTGGTTGGACGTTCTTGTGGCACCTGGTGTGGAACCTATCAACCATTGGGAAAGTGAACAAATCAGTTAGAACTCCAGAAAATTGTAATTTCTACACATATGCCCAGCATAAACCTCTTGAGAATCAAGCTCTCGTTCCTTAGCAAGATCCACCAACCCAGAAGCTACATGCCTTCTCCAATTTCTCCATGTCTGTATGTATTACTAAACTTTGACTAAAATACTGAATTCAGAAATATTCAAATCTCACCTCTGCCAAGATCTCATTAACTGGACTTCATGCTATGAACTCTTCACCCTCCATCTATTGTTTTTACAACAGTGACCAACTTGATGGGATATTCTATGGATTACCATAAGGTAATTCATGTGAAATACTTCAAAACACAAAATCACTAAATGCTAAATATTATTTTCAAATCCTATTGTTACAGTCCCATTCATTTCCTATCGAACTTCAAAGGAAAGAAAAATTAACAGAATCTGGTGCAACCACCTTTACTATAGAACAAGAACACAAAGGAAGAATCAGTTTCTGCAGAAAAAAAATTCCATTTCCAGGTGTATGGAGAACTTGCTTGAAGTCAGGAAAAAATTACTTTGTTGCCCTTCAAAAATTTTGAACTTCAACTCCCATCAGCTCCACCACTATAGCTATCAGTATGTATCCACCCAACTAGTGCACTCCCTGGTTGAGATCTCATATTTTTCAAGGAATGTGTCATCCCCACTAAGTGGACCAGACCAAGAAAACTCCACAGGATGGCTAAACAACTTTTATTCAGATGGGCTATAATAACAGAATCTTGCCAAGTATGATTGTGCTATACTTCCTCCTCCTGCTTATAGTTCAGTAAATTAGGGAGGTGTCCACCAACACTTTAGTCCTTTTTGCCTAGGCAATGGAGTCTGCATCTCTCTCAAGGTCTTCTTCTTTACTCTGTACAGAATTTAACAAGTGGATTCAGATAATCAAATACCTTCACTTTCTTGCCCCTCCTTATAATTATCTATAATTATTACTCTTTAAAGGTTCTTATTTATTCTTATTATTACTCTTTAAAGTTCTGGTGCTCAGCTTCAAAGGCTTCCAGAGTGACATACGCACTGTCAGTGAAAAAAGGGTCTACAGTCTGAAAGTCATGCTCAGAGAAGAAAATAGGGAAGGGGAAGGAAGAGGGACACTGTCTATACGATTCGATAATAATTTTGTTCCATATGACAGAGTTGTTTTGATGGTTACTGAACAGCTGCAAGCCATCAAATTCAAAACATAAAGTTCAGGGCAAATTGGTCTGGATCCTTTGTGTTATATAAGAAGCCTTTAGCCAACAAAGTTGAAGAGAATTTGTTTCATACGTTCAAACAACGGGAAACAAGAATTTCTTTGTTTTGTCTTCCTAGCAAGTTTAAGGAAAATCCTTGGTGCAGCCTCGCAACTCTAAGTACCTGTTAAGACCCCTATTGCATGTCTGAGAGTTCTCCATCATCTCATTTAAAATATAATCTGCTATATACTGTCAACCACTCTCTCTTCCGCTCATCCCAGTTTGTCTGATGAAAACATCTGGAACACTCAGAGGAAAGCTTACGTTTATTTTGTAAAACGTTAATTGACCAATAAAAGCTATGCCTTAATAAGGATTTGGACTTTTTCTTCATAGAGCACTTCCTGTTTCAGCCCCGCCCCTGGATTAGCCCCGCCTCTCACAGCACTCCCGCCCCCGCTCCTTGAAAAGGGTCGCGCGGTCAACTGCCAAACCGTCTCACCCGCTCCCAGAGCTGCTGGGCAAAGGCGCGCGCGGAGGGGTCGGTCACCCGCAGCGTCTCGGTCTCCTCCAAGCGGGCGAGCAAGTCCTCTGGAGTTTGGCTGCGCTGGGCCAGGCCCACCATGAAGGCAACGACGTGGCGCTCGCTGAGCCCCAGAAGGGCATGGAGCTGGCTCGATACCCAGCGTTCCAGCTCTCCCGCCATTCTAGCGGAACGCTGAACCCCCAAATCTCGTCCCCCCTCCCGTTTTCGAGCTGCGTGATAGTACTTCCGGGCTCGTGCTGCTGGGAACCAATCAGCACTCTTAGAAAGGCGAAGTTTTCGTCATCTTAAAGCGACGATAAAAGATAGGATTCGTTACGTTGCTCTCGAGTCTTTCAGTCTCTAGTTGGAATTATGGGAGTTGAAGTCCAATACCTCTGGAGAGCATCGTTAGGAAAGGCTAGCTTACACTCTAAAGTAATGTTTGCTTAACCCTCCTCAGGCTGCAGTTCCCATCATCCCCAGCCAGTCTAACAAATACTCAAGGGTAATAGGTTGCTACCCTACAGATCCTAGCAACGCAAAGTGTGAACAGGTTATGATAGTTTCTTATAGCTATGCAATGTGCAGCTTATTCTGCTCTTCCACATTTTTCAGTGTGTGTGAATCAGCTGCGCTATTGCTAGCGTTATGTACCAAGAACCATAGCCTTATGAAGAACGATATTCCTTTGGAAATAGGGAAATCATACATAAGTCTATTCAAAAGCAAGTGTTTTGAAATCAGGGATTTTTCTTCCCAGATACAGTATGTTTACCAGTTTTTTTGTAGTTCCTGTGTTTTAGACTACAGTACATATAACCCCCAGTCAGCTGGTAGGGAATGCAGAAGAGCACTTTATTTAAACTCTTGGCCGTCACCATGTTTTCCATGCCGTACTACTTGCTCTTTAATCTCCCCTTCTCTGTTTTAGAACCCCACTTGTGTTCCCTCAGACTTGATCACCCAAAGATCAGAATTTTCTTTTTCTGAGGGATACCTGATCCATATCTTAGATATTGTATGGCACCTTTTATTTCCCAAGTCTCAATAAAGCCAAATAAAAAGACTTGAGACAATATCAAGAAAGAATGTCAACCCTTCCCTTATTAGCTGTAATAGAGTGAAGGGAGAGATAAAATCCTTTGATGTATGATTTATTTGTTGCAATAGCCTGGAGCAAACTGCTCCTTATTCTCATGTAAGGATTATTGTATTTGATTATAAGAGGGTTGAGGGAAAGAGGGACCTGTTGTGTGAATTATTTTGGCTGTGAAGAGGGGAACAGTCTTTTTCTCTTATGTCACAAATCAAGGCATATCCTTTTTTTTCTTAAAGTACAGTATAATAAGAGAAAGTATAATAGCATGGCATGGACAGTTATGTGTGCCCCTTGGCTCCATGAGCTACATTGATTGCCAGTTTGCTTCTGGGTTCAATTCAAGGTGCTGGTTTTGACCTTTAAAGCCCTACATGGCATGGGGCCAGGTTATTTGAGGGACCATCTCTCCCTGGTTACATCTGCCCATCTCATCAGGTCCAGCAGGAGAGTTGTGTTACGGGTCCCATCTGCTAAAGAGTTCCATTTGAAAAGTGAAGCCTTTTCTGCCATGGCACCCGCCCTCTGGAACACAATTCCCCCTAAGATGAGATTAGACCAAACTCTTTTAGCCTTCTGGAAGTCTCTTAAAACATGGTTTTTCCAGCAACCTGGGGGATCCCATGGAAATAGGGAGCCTACAAGATTGTTACATTGCGTATAGGAAGTTGATCCATTCTCCCTCTCTTATTTACATGTATGTTTAATGGTTTTTAATGGTTGTTTAGACTTGTTTTTAACTGTTTCATTATACCCATCCAGTGTTACATTTGTGAGATGGGTGGCTATATAAATTGGATGGATAGATGGATGAATAGAATTAAATGTTGCTTTACTGGAGGAGACTGAAGTCTAGATAGTCCAGCATTCTTTTCCAACACTGCATAGGATAACAGATATATGTGACCAGCAGACCATGAGGGAAGGGCTTCCTACTGTTATTTCTTTTAAGTACTGTATTCAAAGAAGATTGCCACTTTAATGGAAAGGTCTATGTAGCTGTCATGATGAGCAGGGGAAAAAGGACCACTAGGTTATCGTGCAACATCATTCTGGTTTATTGTTAATAATAATTATTATATGTAAAAAAAAACCACTGATGGAAATGGCTGGACACAGCTTCTTCAGCCCTCATTTTACATACACTGTTCTTTGCAGACCTCATCACACACCTGTCAAAGAAATAGATGTCTGCAGTATTTCAGTCACTCACTCACTTATTCATGGGCTCTATGCTCGGCTGTTCCGGCAGTGCAAAATAAAAGGGGAAATGATAATAAAAAGGGTGCACAGATGACAAGATAAATTAGTAATGAAGGGAGAGAGAAGAAATGTAATTTTCTCTTCTGCACCTTCCATTCAAACTTTTACTTCTTCACTCCACAGTTTTTGTATCACTCTATCCCTAAAGTCTCACCTTTCTCCTCCCATACATTCATCAACTTTCTCTCAGTCTGCATTCTTTTTCCATTGATGAGTTGCGCCATTCTTTGAATCATTTAATTGAGCAAGTCAACCAAGCTTCACAGTTGGAGAAGGAGGGATAATTTAGAAACAATTTCAATTTGATTTGGACACTTCCATCTTAATGTCAAACTTTCAGCCAGGATGATAAAGGAATTATACTTTTTGTTCCAAAAACTGGAATTGTGGAATATTACAGCCCTGAGATAGTAACAGGGTTGTGGGATGGGGTAGTGGGGAGGGCTTGGACGAGACCACCTCACTGGCCCTCCGCTTCCCTGAGTCATCCCACCTCCTCCTTTTTTATTATCAGCACTACAAATTATTTGCTCTCTGCCTCAGTCCCCAAGCTGGAAGATCATCCTGAGACCCAGAAGCTATAGCTCCTTCTCCTTCTTCCCATCAAAATGAGCATGTCTTTATTAAGCCATGCAAGCTGAGCAATAGTGCTCAGATGTTCAGACAGTCCACAGAGGAAGCCAGGTTAACATCTTCAAACAAATGTACCATAACCTTGCTTTCCTTAATCTTAACTAAGTTAAGACTTTATCCTATTAAAAATACCATACAGTGCGGATTGGCAAGAACTCATCAAAATGGATTGTAAAATAATATTACTAGTATTATTGCTACTAGTAATAATACATTATTTGGCCAAAGAATCCAGAGGCATCTGGGGTGGGTGGGTGAAAAAAGTCAGTTTGGCAGCCACAACTGTGCAACTGTGCACAGTTTTTGACCCTCCCCTGTGGCCGCCCCTGAAAGTATCACTTCATTTTCTAACATTCAAGGGTCTGTTCACTTCACATCCACCCATCTAAGTCCATATGAGTTGTGAATCCTAAACAGGAAATGGATACGACTAAAACTGGAAGCTGTACTTTTCTCCCGATTCTGCTTTGTTCCATGCCCCACTTGTTCCGCTTCCGTACTCCAGCCTGGCAGTCCGACAAGACCACCTCAGCTTGAACTCAAGAGAGAGAAAACACAAAATGCCCCCACAAAGAACAACGGTCTCTGCCCCCATGCAGAGATAGCCTTTCCCTAATTGCTCAATTCCATGCCTTACTAAGTGCTCTTGTTTTAAAACAGAGAGAGGCTCGTCCCCATTGCCCAGTTACATGCCATATTACTCACACCTAGAGCCATGCTATGTTGAAGTGCCCTTCTCTTGAATGGCCCCCCTCCCCCCCAAATACTGATAAGCAGTGTGCCAACCTTTCCCGGTCTCCCTAAGCCCACATGGCAGCTTGTCAAAATGGTGCTTTGCTTGTTTTCCTTTAAACATCCTAACAGACAAGACACTTTATCAAAAAAGCAAAAAAACAACAACCAGACAAAGTTACATCAATGTCCCCCAGCCCAGAGCTGAAGGTTTCAAATGCTGTGTGGTTGACGGTAGGAAGTAAAATAGGTCAATAACATTAGCCCTTGGTGTCTGAAGGTTCAACGTTCTTTCCTCATCAACAGCTTTAAAACAAGTCCACAGGCTCCTTATTGGAGGACAGGAGTGGCAGGAAAAGCATTGGTTGAGATTCCCCTCTAGACTGAGCCGCGTTTCACACCATTTGGAGCTGTCTAGATGTGGGGTAGTTTTTCCTAAGCGATGAGGTCCTGTTTTCAGGGTCAACGCAGAAGGAAGGAAAGAGCCAAATCAAGGGTGCAGATTCTGTGTAACTCCTGGAAGAAGAAACCTATTCAAAGCTGTGGGAAAAGGTTGATCGGTCTTTATTGGTCCCCATTTCTTTTCCTTGATGTGTCAGTCACTGGAAGACAGAAAGAGATTCAAGGTCCAGCCAAAGGATTTGGAACACGGCGTAAATCTTGAAATAGATTCCACCTTTTCCTGCACAGGGAAAGAAGGACGATAAGCTATCGCCGACAGGACTCATCTAGAAAGAGAGAGAAGAGAGAAAGAATACCGGCATTGTTAGTAAAAGAGAAATATAACTCCTGAGTTTGCATTCTCCATTTCTGCACTTTTTAAAGAGGCCTTTAGATGGCACTTCAATATTATCTCTAAGGTTCCTGTTTACTTCTGTTCTTCCAGCCAGAGCATGTCTGGTTTTACAAATATCTCATCTATCTACAATGGTACAGTTTTGGGTGGGATCTAGATGCATATTAGGATTTTCATCTGACCTTAATTACAAATGCTTGGAGATTGGTCAAATTAAAAAAAAATCTTTGCTCTCCTTTTGTTGCTACTGCCATATATGTTTCTAGTCATTAGAATCATAACACTGATACTCAGGGACAGCCTTCCTTCAGGGTTGTTGAAAACTCTGTCTGTCATGGAAATAGATTGTATTATTACTTAGCGAAGTCTTGAATTTAGCTAAGTGAATATGCTTTCTTGCATCAGCAAGGGGTTGACATTTGTGAGCCCTTGCAGCTCTGTTATAAAATGTTTGAAAGTTCCCACTTTGTATGAAGATGTGCAGAGATTTTTGTACATAGGGAAGCTTTTGAGCATTACATACAGCATCCATTGTTGCAAGTCCAACAACAGACAGATATGTAAAAACTCCTTAATCTCTGTAAGAAGGCAGTTGTCTACAAGGCTTTTCTTCTCTTTCCAATAAACAGAACCAGTTGCCAGTCCATTTTAGCCTAACTTGCAAGCTACAATTCAAAACATAGAAAAAGAGACTGGATCTGGGTCAAGAATGACTAGGGAAAGGTTTTGCAATCAACTCTAATCCAAGCAGTTCCAGGTGATCTCAGATACTCACCCACAATAAGTGGTTTGGTCCTGAGCAGGCCAGGGAGGCCACGATGAAGTAGCAGCAACTCTTCTTCTTCTTCTTCCTCATCACCGGGGGGATTTGTGCTAACCAAAGGCTCTGACTCTTCTGGGGGCCCAAACTCCTCCAGTAGGGAACTCTCTGATGGGTATTGGAAAGTCCTCTCCAGCTGGTTTTCACTGAATGAAATCTTAAGCTGTGGGGGGCGGGGGGAGAGAGAGAGAGAGAAATAGGTGGGTGGGTGGGTGGATGCTAAGTCCCACAGTAATTGTACAGCATGATCCATACTTGCAGTTACCCCATTCACATCTGGCCCATCTCAGACTAGATTTGCCTTCCCTAATCTGATGCCTTTGAGATGCCATCCAAATGTGATGGACTTCCATCCTCTTAATCCCCAGAGAACAGAGTAAATTTTGGAACTGAAGGCTTCACATTTGTAGGACATCAGTTAGAAAGCCTTCACTAGATTAACAGTAAAATCTCATACATGCATACTCAAAAATAAGCTCTATTAATTTCATGAGATTTACTCTGTCCTAGGTAAAGTAAAAATAAGATGACAACCTGTACAAGCAGGTCCCTTCTATTCCCACATGCTCATCCCATACGTTGTATCCATAGTGGCAGGACAATCTCTAGCCTGCAGGAGCTATTTGTTCTTGAAGTAACATCCTGGTACAGTATTGCCAACCAGAACTTGATGTAAAGAACATCCTGGTCAGATTATAGAATAAGGAGCCCATAGATTTATTTGGAACACCAGAAATTCATGGATATTGACACAGCAACCCATTTCTAGTTATCCCCAAGCTTTCTTCATTTTCATTAGTACAATTTAGGAGGTCAGACAGAATGATCAATATTCACCACTTTGATACATTGCCCAGAAAACAATTTGAAGAGGCACGTAATACTGATCTACTGCTAAATCTTCTTAGACCAGGCCCTTTAAGGTGCCTAGATGGAGGAAGCCTTGGGGAAATGTAAGCTGACCATGCCCCACATACCATGCTTTGAGCTCCCCAAGGAAAGGTGGGATGTAAATTATGTCATATTCATTGTAAATAAATGAATGCTACTGATACACATATGCTTCTGTTTAAGTCTCCCTATTCAACAGGGATGGTCATTAAAGTTTCTAGTAACTGTTCCTGCAACTAGTAACTTGTCTTTTGATCTTTGGAGGGAGGCTAGAATATACTTTGGTGAGACTCCCGGGGTTACATTTCTTAGGAAGCAAAAGATGCCTTGTCAGAAAATAAAGGTTTAATGAGTTTGAGTTGCACCTGTTGTACAGTAGCTACAGTTAGAGCCACAGGAAGATTAAACATGGGATTAATCCAGGATGGGTTCATGGGGGTTGTAGGACAACACATCTGGAAAGGCCAGTGAGATGAAAGGAAAGTGTATAATTGACTATGTGTGGCCTCTAGAGAACTAAATTAAGGGAAAGGATGCACATTAGATACCCAATTATGTCTGCATTGCAACAAATCTCTTTTATGTCCTGCTTTTTAGGCCGTTCTCATCCTGAAAAGATTTACCATAATTTGCTTGATACAAAAAAAAAAAGTCGAGGGGCTTCAAGCAAAGGGGGTTGCAGTGTCCTGGAACATATAGGTAAAAGAGGTTGCAAAGTTTTAGCAAGATAAATCTTTCTTCCATGGCTTCTTAGGATATCTCCTCACCATCACAGGTCACACACTACCGCCCGCCCACCCCCAGGCGTAAGAGATACAGAGTAGAAAGTACAGCAGGTGATAAACTTTGAGGAAATAATATTAAACTGCCCCACACTCACTCCTGTGACAGAAGAAGGTATCTCTGTGTGTGAGAGAGACGAGGTTATGGGTTTACCATCTCTGGAGATTTTTAGGAAGAGACTGAACAGCTACCTCTCAGGGTTGGTTTAATTTGTTTTCATGCCCTTTACAGAGAGTTGGACTAGATGATCCTTGCGGTCCATTTCATCACCTTTCCCAATTCTGTGACTCTAAGATCATTTGTCCTTGTCATCCATCAGCTTGACATGCAAGAAAGTCCAGCAGTCAGAAATAACAAGTGGAAGAAGAGGACCCCATGAGAACCGCCCAGAATCATTGGGAATCAAGTGGTCTATAAATTTAATAAATAAATAGCCAAGATATTCGTGTAGGCTGTCTACCTGATCTCAAGCCAGTCTCCCCATAGGATGATCAGTTAATGCCACTACTTGTGGTACGTGTCAACAGTCTGCACGGTATGGTGTGCTACATAGCAAGAGCACAAACTTACTCTGCCAAGCGAGCTGACAATGTTAAGTAAATGAATAGTGGGAGGGGACAGAGATCAGAGAGGCAAATTGACACACCTCAAATTCTGGGCAAGCTGCCTAATGCTGTGTCAGGCAATTGGTCCATCTAGCTCAGTCTCATAGACCCGACTGTCACCTGTTCTTGAAGTTCCCAAGAATCTTCCAGCTGTACCTGGAGATGCCAAAGATTAGAGCTAGGACTCTAGATACAAAGCAAGTCCTAAGCTTCAGCTCCTCTTTCAAGCTTTCCAGCTGGATCTCAAGAGGCACAGCTTAATGGGTGCACTCCTTAATAAGCATGCAAAGGATTGCAGAATTGATCTTATTGAGAATAAAAGCTATCCAACATGATGGAAAGTCTGGGTCAAGGGCTTTTCCTGGCCTCAGAGATCAAGTGGCAGTCGAGAGGCACCTACTTTGATGGCAGCAGCTTATGGAGCAGGCATTCAGAAACAATGTGAAGTAACAAAGAGTGACTGTCAGCATGTACAGCAGACATTTCCTGTATCCCATGAATGCTTTTAATGAATGCGGGTTTGTGTGCAGGGCCCTGGTAGCAGATTCCATCTTGAGCTCCGTTTGTTCTTATGCATGGGGACAACCTTTTGTGTGAGGAATCATTGTATGCACTGGGATTTTACAAGCCTGGAGGAATCTTCTACTACAACACTTAACTTTAGCAAATGAATGAAAAAGTCTGAAATAGATTATTCACAATATTAAGACAGCTGAGGTAAGAGTTTAGAGCCAGGTTATGTGGCTTCTCAGCAAGCTAAAAACTCAGCAACGGGAAGAGGTGGGTGGCAGAAAAAATGTTTTGCCCTAGAAATCCAATTCCATGCTATGAGGAGCCAAGCATAAGAAGAATTCTGCCAAGCCTAGCTGAAGATCCTGTTTTCCACCTCTTATGAGAGAAGGGCATGCAGATAATAATCCTTCCAAGCTTTCTCCTATACTACTTGCAAAATTGGGGTAAGGTGGGGAAGTCTCAATCTATGCACCCTTCCCAACTCAAGATATGTGGATGTCAACTTACAGAATTCTCAGCCTACATGGACACGCTCCCAGAATTTGAAATGTCTCTGTTGGCTCCATTTGTCTCCCAGGGTTGATTGGTATAAGAAAAACCAAGAAAAAATGCAAAGAAAAGACACGAACAAGAAACACCAAGCGCTTCATTTATACCCCTTTCAAACGTACTCTATAAATGATTAATTGCACAGGCTTGAGGTTTGCAAACTCAGGAAGCCTATTTTTAACTGGAAAGCTGGCAGTGTTTCATCAATTCTGCCCAAGAAAGGTGAGGTCCTACCTCCATGGTTCTCTTACTTGTACTGGTTTTAAGGATCCTGCCTTTGCCCCCTCCCCATTTCAGTCCAGGTTCTTCCCAGCCCCACTGCCCAGAGTTTAGCAGAACAGGGGATTCTTGACATTATCTCCTTCCCAAGCAGTTCCCATGGGAATTAATCCAAGCTAATCTCAATTAAGTGAAGTCTATTAATGACAAGGGTAGAGGTGGAGGAGGAGCAGCAGCGTGTTCATGTCCAGAGATTAGTTTGTAGATCAGGTTGACAGCAGGGGCAATGGAGGGCTGGTTCAGACAACTCCGCTGTGTTTAACAGCAACTTGATCTTCAAATGTGCTGGCAAAACTATCAATCAAACTGATGCAAAGGGAATATGTTATTAGACCTAGTTTCAAGGTCCTTTTGTGATGTCTTAATCTGATACAAAGGCAGTGTGCCCTCACTCCTTTTTTAAATATGATGTTATCTCTACAAGAAATCCAGAAAGACCTTTTTGCTTGTTTTCATATGAATAAAATGCTATGGCTTAAAGCTACAGCATTGTCCAAAGAAGCATGGATTCCTCAATAATGGTCTTAATAAAACAAGAACCAATCTTCCCAATCACACGCCTTCTAGATGGGTGGGATAACAGCTCCCAGAGTCCCCTGCAGATAAGAGGGACATCTGGGTTTCAAGCCATGGGGTTAGGGTGCTTGTGGATCCCTGTCGTGTTTTTTTTAATGTTGCAGTGGGTGCAAAGGACCTGAAATGATTGACACACTCAAGGCCTCCTTTTACTGAATGTTTCATTTTCCCGATCAGAATGTCCATATAATTCAGTAAAAGGCAGACACTTCTGTTCTGGTTGTTCTGCCACTATCCCTTGCGATCTATGATCCCTTTCACTACTTAAAAAAAAAAAAAAAACCAGGTTGGCAGAAAGCATTGGGCACTAACCAAAATTAATTCTTGTGTGTGTGTGTGTGTGTGTGTGTGTGTGTGTGAGAGAGAGAGAGAGAGAGAGAGAGAGAGAGAG